GATAAGGTGCATTAAAACACACAAGACATTCACACATTAGTTATATTATCTTCTAAAACCATTGTTAATGTTTGTTTTCTTCCACATATGTAATCGTCTTATGGTGCATTCTACATATTTCATTTTTTGCTACTATACTCCATCAATTAATGTGTTATTTTGCACATTATATAATATTTACAGTGTATGTGGTCTGCTAAATATACAATTGGAAGTGTTTTATTATCTGTTTAATAGGTAGAAACATACCCATTGCTTTTGTCAAAAATCTTGTGAGCTGATAACTTCCTGTGTTCTTTGCCTGTACACAAAGAGCAGTTATAGAGGTGGGTGGGGAGGAGAGGTCTATTTCCTTTGCAATCCATCAGACATTAAGTAGGTAGAGCTGAAATCATGAGCTTAGGAATTCAGAGCTGTGTTGTCATGTCAAAGAGGAAGGTAGGATCTCAGTACATTTCTGGCACATTAACAGTTATTTTTCTGTTAATTGCAGCATGCCTAAAAGGATAAACATGGAGAAATATGCATGTATTGCTGAAATGTACTATGTGGGGGGAATTTATCAACACTAGAGCAGACAAAACCAGTGGAAGTTGGCCATGGCAACAGATCAGCACCTCTCTTTAGTTTGTTAATTTAAGCTTTAAAAATGAAAGATAGAAGCTGATGGTTGCCATGGCAATCTCCTCCAGATTTTTATGTACTCCAGTTTTGATAAATTCCTCTCCATATGTTTAGTTTTTTTGCCTTGACATACACTTTAACTCTTTGTTCTTTTTTAACTTAATTTCACGTTTTGTAACATCTCCTTTCTTCTGTTTTTTTTTACAGGTAGCATAGCAACAACATCTGATGTTTCTCCAAATGGCCCTGTATTTCTCCAAGTAACTGAGCTGCCACTAAAACTACTAAGTCCCCCCCTTCTTTTATCTTCTGGGTGAGAAGAAGACCAAGAGGGTCCCACTTCTGAAAGACAGATGCAGGGGTTCAGTTATCAGTCTTTTTACCCAAGATTCAAATAAACACATTTCTTTCACTTAGGATTTAATCAGAAAATGTAGGAATCTTGGGTGTTGATTAATAGACCCTACAATAAGCCAGACTGAAACGGATAAAATTATATTGAAGGGGAAAAAGAAGATAGGGTCTTTGGAACATGCTGTCTATAAAAATACACAAAGCGCACATACTGTATTCACACATGCCCAACTCTACATACTGTTAAAATGCTGTAATATATCCACCATCTAAACTGACACTCAGTTATAATAATAATTCATTATTAATAAATACCACAGTGTCATATTTCTTCAAAACCACCATAAATCTAATAACAGACTTAGGGGGTTATTCACTTAGCTGCCGAAAGCGGCCAAGTGAATAACCGAGCCAAAGTGAGCCGAATGCTGTTTGGCTATTCACTTCAGCCTTGTACATACACACTTTAGCCATACATCGGCTAAAATCAGCCATACATCTGGATCAGGTGAGCCGAAGCTTCGGCAGCTCACTTGCTGCCGCTCGCCCCTATTCTCATACGGTAGTAAGTGAATAGCCGAATGCCGATGAGCGGCATCCGGCTTAGCTATTCTGCTCGGTACCTCCAAGGTAGCGAGCAGAATAGAAAACCAGTTAAATGAATGAAAAAATAAAATAAAATGTTGAAAAATTATGTAAAGAAATTTAAAAAAATAGGAAAATTAAAAAAATATATAATTTTAAAGAATGTTTACATTTTGTTTTTAAAACTACGCACGCCGACCTGACTGCACAAGATGGACTTCTGCCACATAATGAAACATCTGACCAATGGCAGCAAAATAAAAACAATTGGGCAGAGCTAGTGATGACATCACTGCTAGCTCCACCCAATTGTTTCCTATTGGCCGGCACCTGCCAGAGCCTTCCAGCAGATCCTGGCCAATGAATAACTGGGCGGAGCCGGCCAAGACGTCACAGACGACTCCACCCAGTTATTGTTTAATCACAGATCAGCGCACCCAGGTCATTTGGGGACGCTGATCTGTCATTACAACTGGGTGGAGCGAGCCATGAGATCACAATTTATTAAAGCCTGCATGAAAATCAGACCTGCTAGAAGGACTTTGACAACTTCTTGGGACCTCAATGTTGTCCTGGATTTGTTGGCCTCCGCCCGTATCATCCAGTAGAAAAGTCAAACATTTGGAATTTACCATTAAAAACAGTCTTTCTCACAGCAATCACTTCAGGTCAGAGAGTCTCTGAGATACAGGCTTTTGGACATAAAGAACCTAATTTATGTTTTCTTCAAGATAGGGTAGTACTTAGGACTTTACCTTCATTTTGTCCCAAAGTAATTACAGCATTTCATTTGAATCAGGATATAGTCTTACCTACCTTTCCGAATATGACAGAAGAGCAGCAATATGCTCTAGATGTTGGTGGGACACAGCATTCAAACCTACATCACCAAAACGGCAGGATTCAGATCTACAGAAACCCTGTTTATTCTCCCGATTGCACCACACAAGGAGCAGGCTGCAACTTCAAGGAACATAGCATCCTGGCTGGTCAAAACCATCAATACAGTATATTCACCTAGAGGTTTAAAGCCTCCACAAGGTATTAAAGCAAATTCAACATGAGCTTTGTTTTCTTTAGCAGCAGCCAGAGGGAACACCCCTGAAGAAATCTGCAAGGCAGCAACCTGGTTGTTCAACAACACCTTCTTGGCACAGTACAGAGTCGATCCAGCAGCCCCTACCACAGTGGGCTTTGGCAGAGCTATTGTCATTTCAGATTCTTGTCAGAGAGAATACATTTTAAGTACAGTACCCACCCTGTGTTTTGCTTGCTACATTCCATTTGTATGCTGCCATGCTTGTGTCAGGAAATCGGAAAATTGTATACTTCTGGTAATTTTCCTTTCCTGACACATATGCATGGCAGCATAGGATTCCCTTCCTGTCATTTTCATTTGTTTTGTTTGTTTGGCTAGAATATTAGAATGGCGGAGATATCTTGATTTTTTTGGTAGTCTGTCCTATCTGGAGGAGTTAACCCATTCGTATGCCGCCAAGCATATGTGTCAGGAAAGGAAAATGACCAGTTACTGTATTTTGCGCTCTATAAGGCGCACCGGACCATAGGACGCAGGGGTTCTGTGACAGCTGTAGTTAGTCACAGCTGAGACAGGTGGCACTGTGATTACAGCGCCACGGTCTCAGTAATCACACAGAGCAGACGAAGAACGGACGTTCTTCATCTGCTCTAGGGGCTCTATAGTGAGCTCCTATGCCGTTTCTCTGAGATACAGGCTTTTGGACATAAAGAACCTAATTTATGTTTTCTTCAAGATAGGGTAGTACTTAGGACTTTACCTTCATTTTGTCCCAAAGTAATTACAGCATTTCATTTGAATCAGGATATAGTCTTACCTACCTTTCCGAATATGACAGAAGAGCAGCAATATGCTCTAGATGTTGGTGGGACACAGCATTCAAACCTACATCACCAAAACGGCAGGATTCAGATCTACAGAAACCCTGTTTATTCTCCCGATTGCACCACACAAGGAGCAGGCTGCAACTTCAAGGAACATAGCATCCTGGCTGGTCAAAACCATCAATACAGTATATTCACCTAGAGGTTTAAAGCCTCCACAAGGTATTAAAGCAAATTCAACATGAGCTTTGTTTTCTTTAGCAGCAGCCAGAGGGAACACCCCTGAAGAAATCTGCAAGGCAGCAACCTGGTTGTTCAACAACACCTTCTTGGCACAGTACAGAGTCGATCCAGCAGCCCCTACCACAGTGGGCTTTGGCAGAGCTATTGTCATTTCAGATTCTTGTCAGAGAGAATACATTTTAAGTACAGTACCCACCCTGTGTTTTGCTTGCTACATTCCATTTGTATGCTGCCATGCTTGTGTCAGGAAATCGGAAAATTGTATACTTCTGGTAATTTTCCTTTCCTGACACATATGCATGGCAGCATAGGATTCCCTTCCTGTCATTTTCATTTGTTTTGTTTGTTTGGCTAGAATATTAGAATGGCGGAGATATCTTGATTTTTTTGGTAGTCTGTCCTATCTGGAGGAGTTAACCCATTCGTATGCCGCCAAGCATATGTGTCAGGAAAGGAAAATGACCAGTTACTGTATTTTGCGCTCTATAAGGCGCACCGGACCATAGGACGCAGGGGTTCTGTGACAGCTGTAGTTAGTCACAGCTGAGACAGGTGGCACTGTGATTACAGCGCCACGGTCTCAGTAATCACACAGAGCAGACGAAGAACGGACGTTCTTCATCTGCTCTAGGGGCTCTATAGTGAGCTCCTATGCCGTGGTCACGGGTCCCCCAGAGGAGCGGGGGCCCCCGAAAACCATTGCAAGTGGGGGGGGGCCCGGACACGATCGCCGCAGCTCGATTTGATACAAGTGATCTAATCAGATCACTTGTATTAAACGAGCAGCGGCTCCCACTGTACATTTAGCTCTACTTGTCTGCAGCAGGGCTAAATCTACAAAAAAACTACTCCCCCGGCGCCCCAAAACTGCATGTTCCTGGTGTCAGGCGATAGGGATTCGCTCCATAAGTCGCACACACATTTCCCCCCACCTTTTGGACAAAAAAAAGTGCGTCTTATGGAGCGAAAAATACGGTAAGTAAACCATTTTCCAATTTTCCACAGTACACCATTACATCTACTGATATTTATGTTCAATAATTTAAAAGGCAAATTTTCTTTGCGTTTTAATCAAGTTTGTCACCTTTATCTATAGACACGGTTTGAATTAGATGTTAAAAATATATGTTAAAAAAATCATTAATTTCCACGGGGTATACTTTTCACATGACTGTATACTGTATATACTGTAGATAATAATAACAAAGTAAATCCAGTAAAAAAAAATGACATACCTATACAATAGAATAGTGTGTAAAATGTGCAAATAATAACATCAGTTCCGCTTACTGAAAATACAATTTATTTTGTACTACACAAGAAATGAGTAATGGTATCAGTAATTTTATTGGAGAAACAAATCAATAAAATGTACATTTTTTGGCCAGCACAGAATAATCTTTAGGTGATTTTATTTTCTGTTGTCTCATACCTCATTTATCTGTTTACAACTTTTGGAATTTTTTCCTCTTAAGTTTACTTGAGCACCTTACATAGGTCTTCTCTTGGTCTGGAAGTAGTAGGAAGTTGTCGATGTTTTCTGAGCAAAATGTGACTCTAAGAAGGAAGGCAGAGTTTGTAAGACACTCAAGCACCTTTATTTTTATTTTTTTTAATTAAGTTGGCAAACATTCATGCCCTTGTCTTTTTGTCCCTAGTTTTGGGGATTTAAGCTTGTAGTGGTTTACATGATTAAAAGGTATAAATATAGGTGTGATTTTTCAATGATCATCATATCTGCAAACAAAACATGAATAAAAACACCATCATTTATGAATTTTTTGATTGGGAATTATAAGGAATGTCAGAGCCTCAAGAAATAGAGTACACATACAGTATTTAGTGTCTCACAAAATATACTCCCAAATCTAAGCCCCTTTCATGGCGCTATACCCAATAACAGTTTTGATATGCACAAACATAATATCCAATGAACAAACATGCCTTGGAATCTATGCATATAAACATAATCTTATTATGATACAAAATAGAATAAACACATGACATTTAAAAAAAAAACTGAACTTCTTTTAAGTCTTTCATTTAAACAGGGACAATGACCCTTCTACAAGCCATTTCTATTGCTAAGACACACACAATGCCATGTCATATATTTGGAGGTATTCCTCCTTTGATATCTTTTACAACGGTATCACACTGCACCTATATTGGAGCAAATAATCAATATTCCAAATATATATTACATTTTGCAAACATACATTCCGTAACAGCATTCCAAGACCACAGTAAAAAGTGCTCATTCATGTGACGCAAGTCTTAAATATAGAGAAGATGTGAGAAGATGATGTAGCAGCCCAGCTCACAGATTTACCATAGATTATGTGGTATTCAAACAACATGAAGTGGTTCGATGTGCAGAAAGGATAATTAAGAGCTTTCATAAGAGCCTGTCATCCAGAAATAGATTTTCTCACTTATGATAAATTACATTTTAAAATGATTATCGATATTCTTGGTCTCATTTTTACAGTAAATGGGTAATTTTATATTGCTTGTATATATTTTATATTTCATCTAGTAAATGAGATGATTAGACTTATCTAGACAGTCATATAAATAAATAAAATATCACAGTATATTACACTGTATAGTGCTCAGTGACAATGTTTTAGAAATAGAAAGGTTCTTATATGCATTATCACACAATGCTAGCCTTATAAATGCACCAACCTCTCCTGGGTCTCTCCTGCTTTTACTCGTATTTTCTTCACTTGGAGTCCTGGAAGGGTGACTATCTTTGTCTGAATGGTGTACCATAAATTCTTTATATTGTTAATGCCATCCCACTTTATTCTGATCATCATCAAGTCGCCAATGTCATTGTGTAGTGTAATAAGGAAAGAGTAGGTTCTGCTTTCCAGTACACCTTCACCTCTAAAAAATAAATCATAAGCATTAAGAGTACCAATTCATTGTTTTGTAGAACAATGTCAAAGAGTTTTGTTTTAACTTTTTAATTAGTGCAAAAAATACTTGTTGATCATATCAAAAGTCTACTGTTTTACTCCAGTCCCTGTCCCACTGGAAATATTTCCCCTTACTTTCTGTTTGGACAGAAAGTTATGGAAAATCTCTCCAGTGGGGACATAGCTGGCAACAAACTCCTTTTGTTAGTATAACTGGTAGCTGTTCAAACCTCTGTCAAATTATTATTACTGTACATTTCTTCCTGTCCTGGTGACTAAAAATATCCTAATTTCTTGTCCTGCTGTCACAGGCAGTTACTGAGACCTGAAGTGAGATGAAGTGTACCCATCAGGATACCTGACAACAATACAAACTTGACAGAATGATTTACTCTTCTCAAGTGTATCCAAAACCGATAAAACAAAGTTTGGGCTTGGACTCAAGTCTACGTGAGGCTGTTAAAGCTACAATATGCTATGCAGGAGTGGTCACACACGACCCTTGTTTCATTAAATATTTCACATGCCTGTACTTTTGTATGGTGTGAACAAAAAGGCTTAGCTTATAAACACTAGTCGGAAAACTTTTAGCAAAGTTTGAACAGTCTTTTTGCAGCCCTCAGAGGACCATTCATCTTCAGTCTGGGAGTGCTAAACATTGATCTTATTAGTGATACTGGCTGGAGTTTTTAGTAGGCTTCATTGAGTTTTGGCAGGCTTCATTAGATCGGAATAAGCAGAAACTTTGCTTCTTTCTTCTTCTTCCTGCTGGCAGGTCCTGTATTTGATGTGTATGTGTATATGTATATATATACTGTATATATATTATGCTACCCAAATTAATTTATTGAGATATGATTTGCTATATAAACTGCTACACCTACAAGTATTTACTTTGGTTATAATGATTCAAGCACGCGCGTTTAAGCTCAACACAACAACAGAAAATGTATTGGTATATAGCAATAAGGCCAAAATGAAATGTATGCGGGGCCCCTCTGGTGATCCAAATAACTAATTTTCCCCTCCAAAGTCTGGACTAATAGAGGGCTTGTTTCCATAGACTTGCATGAAGTGGCTTGGATTGGTGGCCTTCTAGTTCTAATCTAATCAAATTATAATAGTCCTCTGGGTATGAGATATTTTTTCAAATACCCTTTGTTACCAAAATTCAACCCCTTTCCATGTAAATATTTAATAAATTACCAGCCCAGACTCCAGGAGGGTAAATTAAAAATGCACAAACAGTGAGGAAAATAATGATTTGATCCCCTGGAGATTTTGTAAATTTGCCCACTTACAAAGAAATGAAAGGTCTATAATTTTTTATCATAGGTGTATTTTAAATGATAGAGACAGAATGTCAACCAACAAATCCAGAAAAAATACATGATACAAATATTTTTGCGTTGCAGTTCAGTATTTGATCCCCAACCATCCAACAATACTTCTGGCTCCCACAGACTGGCTATGTGTTACACAGATGAGTCCTGTCAATTTAAGAAGGTGCTCATAATGACAACTCTTTATGTATATAAAAGACACCTGTCCACAGAAATCTCTTTCCTCCATTCAAATCTCACCACCATGGGCAAGACCAAAGAGCTGTCAAAGGACGTTAGGGACAAGATTGTTGACCTGCACAAGGCTGGAATGGGCTACAAGACTATCAGCAAGTAGCTTGGTGAGAAGGAAACAACTGTTGGAGCGATTATTCGCAAATGGAAGGAATACAAAATAACCATAAATCGACCTCGGTCTGGAGCTCCATGCAAGATTTCGCCTCATGGGATAAGGATGATCATGAGAAAAGTGAGGGATCAGCCCAGAACTACACGGGAGGCGCTTGTGAATGATCTCAAGGCAGTTGGGATCACAGTCACCAAACAAACCATTGGTAACCCAATACACCACCATGGATTGAGATCCTGCTGCGCCCGCAAGGTCCCCCTCCTCAAGAAGGCACATGTACAGGCCCGTCTGAAGTTTGCCAATGAACATCTAAATGAGTCAGAGAAGTATTGGGAGAAAGTGCTGTGGTCAGATGAGACCAAAATTGAGCTCTTTGGCATTAACTTGACTCGCTGGGTTTGGAGGAAGAAAAATGCTGACTATGACCCTAAGAATACCATCCCTACAGTCAAGCACGGAGGGGAAAACATTATGCTTTGGGGCTGTTTCTCTGCTAAAGATACAGGCCAACTTTGCCGCATTGAATGGCCAATGGACGGGGCCATGAATTGTAAAATCTTGGATGAGAACCTCCTTCCCTCAGCCAGAACACTCAAGATGGATTGTGAATAGGTTTTTCAGCATGACAATTACCCAAAACATACAGCCAAGGCAACAAAACAATGGCTCAAGAAGAAGCACATTAAGGTCATGGAGTGGCCGAGCCAGTCTCCAGACCTTTATTCCTATAGAAAATTTATGGAGGGAGCTGAAACTTCGAGTTGTCAAGCGACAGCCAAGAAACCTTAAGGATTTAGAGAAGATCTGTAAAGCAGAGTGGACCAAAATCCCTCCTGAGATGTGTGCAAACCTTGTGACCAACTACAAGAAACGTCTTACCTCTGTGCTTACCAACAAGGGTTTCTCCACCAAGTCATGTTTGGCTTGGGGATCACATACTTATTTTATTCACTGAACTGCAACTCAATTTATAACATTTGTATCATGTTTTTTTTTTCTGGATTTGTTGGTTGATATTCTGTCTCTATCATTTAAAATACAACTATGATAAAAATTATAGACCTTTCATTTCTTTCTAAGTAAGGGGACAAAGGACAACCCTTTATTGAGTACTTGAACTTTAGCATCTGTCAATGTTTGATTGCTTAAGTTTAAGAATACTGGTTTCAACCTTCCTTTTCCTGTTGCCCCTCTTGGCCCCTCCAGGATGGTTTGCCCAAGAGAAGAGAGGAAGGCCTGGAAACACTGATGGGAATTTATCAAAACTGGAGCAGACAAAATCTGGAGCAGCTGTGCATGGCAACCAATCAGCTTCTCTCTTCAGTTTGTTCAGTTAAGATTTGAAAATAAAAAGGAGAAGCTGATTGGTTGCTGTGCACAGCTGCTCCAGATTTTGTCTGCTCCAGTTTTGATCTGGGATCTGTGTGAGGTTCCTGATTCTGTTGCCTCAGATACAGAGCATAAATTACCAGAGCTGGCATCAATTGATATGAGAGGGTCTAGAATAGTCAGTCAAAGCTGCAAGTCTTACCATAGACTCAATTATTAGAATAGGTCTCGCAGACCTCAGATCAGTTTGCTCTCTTTAACCACTTGACTTCCGCGGTGTTAAACCCCCTTCCCATCCAGGCCATTTTTCAGTATTCAGCGCTGCGATACTTTGACTGACAATTATTCAGCCATACAATGCTGTACCAAAATGAATTTTATATCTTTTTTTGGGGACAGATAGAGCTTTCTTTTGGTGGTATTTAATCACCACTGGGGTTTTTATTTTTTACTATATTAAGGAAAAAGTACCGAAAATTTTGAAAAAAAACCTGTTTTCCCTATGTTAAGCTATGAAAATTTGCACATAAATAATCTTTCTTCATAAATTTTGATCAAAATGTATTCTACTACATTTCTTGGGTTAAAAAAAAAAAGTGTAAATTAATTACAATGTGTGAAAGTTATATAGTCCACAGACTATGGTATATATATTTGAATTGTATCAACCCTGGTGCCCTGACTGCATATCGCATTTCTTGAGGCCCCAAAATGCAAGGACAGTAGAAAGCCCCACAAAATGACCCCATTCTAGAAAGAAGATACCCCAAGGTATTTGATAATGTGCATGTTGAGTGTTTTCTAGGTTTAACTTTTTGGGTAAACGTTCACAGAAAATGAAGAAAATTTTTTTTAATTTTTTTTTTACAAAAAGTTGCCTGTTAAAAAGATATACCTAACACACAGCATGTGCACACATACAATTGTACCCCCAAAAAACATTCTGCTACTCCTTCCGAGTATGGAGATATCAAATATGTAAGACTTTTTTGCGGCCTAGCCACATAGAGGGGCCCAAACCCCAAAGAGCACCTTGAGGTTTTGAATAGACATAAATTGTACTTTTGTTTTTTTGACTACCTATTGCATTTTTGGAGGCCCTGAAGTGCCAGGAGAGAATAAACACCCACAAAATGACCCCATTTTGAAAAGAAGACACCCAAAGGTATTTGATAAAAAACATGCTGAGTCTTTTGAAGATTTCATTTTTTGCTACAGAATTTTAGAAAATGAAGAAAGAAAATTAATAAAAAATATTTTTTACACAAAGTTGACAATTTATATGATATTTCTAACACACAGCTTTGACATCCTTAGAATAACACCTCAAAACACATTCTACTAATCCTCCTGAGTATGCGGATACCACACATGTCAAACTTTTTTTGCAGCCCAGCCACATAGAGGGGCCCAAAATTCAAGGAACACCTTGAGGCTTTCAAAGGGCATAAATTACGCATTTGATTCCCTGACTACCTATTGCGTTTTTAGAGACCCTAACGTGCCAGTGCAGTAGAAACACTTCAGTGCTAGTGCTTGCCTGCTGCATTTCAGTTGGATGTGTGATGACTGGCACAGCACGCCTGGCCCTTTTAGATGGGACAACTTCATAATCAGAATCAGAGGTGGATAATGAACCACTACTGACCACACGGGCACTGACCACAATTAGTCCCGCCGTTCTATTACAATGGGCGGACGGCAACAGGTTAAAGGATACAGGTATGTCTCTGTAAAGTGTTACGTTATCCTCAAGCTCCTCGAGCCAATCAAGATCAAGTGTTTTGGAGAAAATCGGTAATTGCACTAATTCTTTTTTTAATGATCTTTGACTGTACATGTGCCAGTTGTGTGCCCAGATAATTTGAGTATTAAATCAAAACTGCATTCATTCCTAAGCACACGCCATCGGAAAGCAAAATTTAGGGTCTGTAGAAACAATTGTAGGGATGATGCATATCCTCCCCCCCAGATCTGAGGTGGCTGTGCAGTTGCTTAAACATTGTTCTTGTAGCAGTAGATCAACTTCTAGTTTTTTAGAGGTGTCAATGCTATAAGACTCTGCAGGTTTATGTGAGCGAGTATCCGAAAAGACAATGGGCTCAAATAACCAAGAGATGCATCGGCATCGGGAAAAGAAAGTTACTTAGACATGTTAATAACACAAGAAGAGTTTACAGTTTCCAAGGTCATAATGCAATAAGGCAGTGAATGAGTCAATGGGATAGGCATATAGGGTTCAAAGGTGCAAGGCTACCAATGGAATTTGTGACCGAAAGGGATCTTTTCATAAACTACTCACATGTCTATTCTGCGAATATTTGGTATATTTACCATAACAAATGTTCTTTAGTGGTTTCTTTGCAAGGAAATGTATTTCTTAAAGGTTTTTTTTAATGTAATATCACATTGTGATTATTAGGTGATGCTAAGGAAAATAAATACTTATTTCCTATGCTGCTTAGCTCCATCTAGTGGCCATAAAGCGATATTACATGAAAACATTTGAAAATTCATTCCACTTATAAACATAAACTAAAGAAAGTTAATTTATGGCAGATATTTGCAGAGAGTGAACATTCACAGAGTTTCGCAGGACCAAGGGTATTAGACTGTGGAGAGCCACAGCTATGTCTGACCGACTCTGTGCACTGTGATCGCTATGATTCTTACATCAGAGGCAGGGGAAGGTACAGGAACTAATTAATTGATGAGTTATCTATTTATTAGTTCCTGGTGAATACAGGCTGCAGCAGCAGCAAAAAAAGGTTCAAATAAATGTAACACTTTCAGCCCCCCTCCTCTCCTGTCGATAATATCTGCATTCTATCTTTGCTCTGACCTGTACATTAACCCTTTCACATCCCTTATCCTGCACATCTATTAACCCTTTCCCCTTCATCCTCTCACTGTGTGTGACCTGTACATCAAACCCTTCACCCCTCCTAACTCTGTGTGTGACCTGTACATTTATTGTATCTTGTGCAGTATTGCAAAGCTTCATGTTTAACCCCCTCAATAACGGCATGTTTCTTCATTTCCAAAAAAATTGCAGGAAAAAAAACAGATCTTGGTGTGTCTTCTTTCCAATAATGGGTCATTTTGGGGGTTTTCCTACTGTCCTGACATTTTTATTTGCTATGATTTATAAACGAAAGTAAAAGAAACAGACTTTGTTTTCAATCTTTTTGCAGCTAGCTACAAACTCCACAAAGCACAGATATAGAATACTTACATAGTTAAGGGTATGGTGTCAACCTCTTGCTTGGTTCCTATCAGGGAAATTGTTAATGGTGGATTCAACTGCTTATCCTCAATTTGGTTGGTTATCTGGATCTTGAACTGGTAATGGTAAACTGTAAGAACAAGAGGAGCAATGTGTTATAACAGCAATTGTTAAAGCAGGGGTGGAGTGGGCCATGGTTTGACTCTTTGCAATGTTTTTGCAACAATTTGGGATTCTAGCAGAAATCCCTTCTCCAAAGATGCCACATTTATGTCAACCTTTCGGACAAGCTTCTGTTATCTGATGAGGAGAGTTCTCCATATAGTTACAGGTGAATTTATGGTAAATGCTAGAGTATATTTGTGACTTACTGGGGTTGATTTACTAACCTTATAAACACGCCATGAACAAGTATACACCTCTGTAGTGTGTTCCCTCCCAGCATGATCTATTGGTGGAATCTAGACACCTTTGTAGTGTGTACACACCCAGCAGGTGTGTTGTGCAAAGCCAAGCATGAATTGCAAGGTGATGTTGTGTAAATTAGCTCTATGTTATGTTGCTTGCGTTGATGAATCCAGGAATGTAAATGCATGAGCTAACGATTTTTGTCTAAACTGTGAAGCAGCATTATATACGCATCATGTGCATGATTTTTCCATATATGGCATTAGTGGAAATATGCTTTTAGAGACTTTTTGGTTGATAAATAAGTTTTGCTGTGTAAAAATCACATGCACCTAGTGCGTGCGTGTGTTTAGGTTAGTAAATCATCCCCACTATGTCTGGACAAAGGAGAAAGATCTGCCCATATTAGTCCCATAGAGTGGCCTAGCAGCATAACAATCCCTTACCTAGCCCACCCAAAACTTCGTCTTCTGTTATGGTTGGAGTTCTTTGCTAACCAATTAATCTTTTGTTGATCTTAAGCATCCTTAGACCTCAAGACCGCAACACCTTCAAAAATACATTCTATTCATTATGCAATAGATTTGCAATAAGAAGATAGATTGTAAGCCCTCATCGGCATGGCCCTCTTTATCATTGTCAACTTATCACCAGCTTTAAAGCAAGGTGCACATGGAAGGGCTTTTGCGTTTGCCATTTGTTTTGCTTGACTGATTTGGTTCAGTGACACGTTGGGGGTCTCAGCTGCCGTTGTGATGTGCGGGCTGCCTCCTGCCGAAACCTGCACCCAATTTTATATTTTGCTACATGTGCTCCAAGATGGAGACTCTCACAGGTTAGAGTTAGGACCACACTACACAGAGGAACCTTAACAAGGCGGTGCAGCTTTCACATATTCTGCAGAAGTCGTGTATCCAAACCTCTGTCTTTAACCTTAGCTGTTAGACAAGTTTTTTTGCATGCTGGCTGGTGAGTGTGCCTGGAAACTTTTTTCTGTATTCTCTGGAATGTTACCGTTCTCAAATTTGCCACGCGATATCGCGAGAAGTCGTCGTCCAATGATTTTCAATGGAGCTGTTCTATTGAACAGCTCCATGTCGCTCGTTGCTGTCGCGTGTCGCTTGTGCAACACACTTTTTCCCAAGGATGTTGCGCGATTTTTCTATTTTTGCATGCGACCCGACGGTGAAGGTCGCTGGAACGTTGCCCGAACAGTTGCGCTATACCTGGCCGCGCGGATCCGCTCTAGGTAAGTGTCGCTTAGCGTGAATGGGGCCTTTGGGTTATTTTTCTATTTTAGATGCGCATTGTAATACTAAAGGTGGTCTTTAACCCTTCAGCTGCCAAACTAATTTTTTTCCATTTTTTTCACACGTTAAAATTTTTTGGGTTGAAAATAATATCCCCAAAAGATTACATATTTTGTGACCTTTAGTATACAAAGATGGAGTTACAATTTTTTATGTTGCACCATTTTTCCACAACTGTTTATAAAACCTACAGTATGTTTTAAGTAAATAATACATTCAAATAAATTTTAGTGCACACAACAATATAATTCCCTTTTTTCTTTAAAGGTAAGATTGTGTGGAGTAAATAGATGTCAAATATATCAAGCATTACTATTAGCATGCCCCTGCAAAACAACGACATACAATACCAAAAATTGTCCACAGGCTGTGATTTATAAACCTTTACAGCCTATCTGTTTAGCATAAACCATAAATGATGACCCTAGAAATAGTGCTTCTGCACTGGTGTGTGAGACAAAAATGTGTTTCTCAATTGTCATTTAGACATGCGCGCTCGCCCTTCATCTGTGTTTAAATTTGTATGTGTGTGGGAGCATGGGCCTTCTAAAAAATGTTTTCATTCATTTTATTATATTTTAATTTTTAAAAACTTTTTTTATTGGTAACTTTAATGCTTTCACAAGGGGCTGTACCAATTCACTGCATGAATACAATGTGAAACCTCCTCAGGGGGGTGGGTCCTGGATTTTCTGCACTCACAGTATCTCTCCAGTATTTTGGTGACACTGGGTGCCATTCAACCCGGAAGACTGCAGACATAAAAATAAGTACTGTGGTAGACAGCTCTGGTTTGAAGGTGAACAGTTTTTTAAACATATGACAAAGAAAAATTGACCCAGAGTTGGGCTGGGTCCATCAAATGAATCATCTTCCAATAGCATGTAACACTATGTGGTTGCATCAGTAATGTGATATATTTAGGGAGAAGCTGGTTGATGTAAAGAGTGAATACACAGCACTGAGAGTTACTCACTTATATTTGGCAGTATGTAATAGTCCAATGCTGGAAAACCATCCAAGCATACAAGATGTTGACTGAATGTTAAAACGATTTAGGCAGATATGTACAGTATGTAAGTGCATATAGATTGTTTGCCATTTAAAAGCCATTGATGCTACCGTGTTTCCCCGAAAATAAGACACTGTCTTATATTTTTTTTGCCCCCAAAAACCACACTAGGTCTTATTTTCAGGGGATGTCTTTTTTTTTAATGTGCAGCAAAATCTACAACAATCTAAAGTTATCTTTATCACTCCGCCTGTCACAGTAACTGGCGCTCTAGAGGAATATCGGCTAATGCGGCTCTGCTCCCGCCGCAGCCTTGCATTCTACAGCGCCGGCTTCCTTTGCCACCAGGGACAGCGGTACCAGCGGTGCAGCAGTGGGGACATCAGACAGTGGACAGCATGGTAAAGTACAGTACCATCTACCGGTACACATTACAGTACCATTACATTAAGCAGTGTCTTCGGGGGACAGCAGTTTGTGAAGAAAGGTACTGGAGTGCTCCCTGTCACTGCGCTGGCTGGGGGGAGTCCCCTGTCATCCCCTTAATACAGTATGTCCCTGCAGGCTGATGCCATCTCTCCTGCAAGTTCCCCCCTCACATGCTACCGCCGAACTAGGTCTTATTTTCAGGGTAGGTCTTATATTACAGGAATCTTGAAAAATAGTGCTAGGTCTTACTTTCAGGGTAGGTCTTATTTTCGGGGAAACAGGGTATAAGCCAATCCAGGCAATTAAAATGACATAAGCACTATATGTCTCACCCAACATAGAGCAGACTGTAGCTTTGTCTGTGGTGGCATAGGTTCACAAAAATCACCATATGGCTGAGAGAAGAGAGTGGAAGCTGGAAGGACTCATGCAGACACCACTCGCAACACCTTGTATGAGAATGGTTAAAATTCCTATCAGGCTTTTCTAGTCACATTGATTTTCCCTCATTTCCAGTACTTAAGATACACCAGGAAGTTAGAGGAAATATTTGCAAAAAGAGGGGAACTACAGGTGAAACTCGAATAATTAGAATATAGGTGAAACTAATATATGAGATAGACTTATTACATGCAAAGCAAGATAATTCAAGCCGTGATTTGCCATAATTGTGATGATTATGGCTTACAGCTCATGAAAACCCCAAGAACCCCAAATCCACAACCTCAAAAAAGTAGATTATTACATGCAATCAATAAAACAAGGATTGTACATAGAACAATATCGGACCTCTGAAAAGTACAAGCATGCATATGTACTCAGTACTTGGTTTGGGCCCCTTTTGCAGCACTTACTGCAATTACTTTTGCACGATATTCTAATTATTCGAGTTTCACCTGTATCTTTCTCATAGACAGCTTTACAAAGTCAAACCCATTCTATAGTTTGGGTTATGGATATAATTTAATGTTTTTGAGCAGGGGCGTAACTAGAAATCACAGGGCCCCATAGCAAAATTTTGTATGGGGCCCTGTGATTTCTAGTTACGCCCACCTGATATCCCAAACAGCCCACCTAAGGGTGACCCTGCAGGGCCCACCATAGACTCTCTATGGTAGGCTCTGCAGGGTCTCAGGCGTGCGGTCAAGCCCTCTTACCTGTTAGCCCTGATCCTCTGTCCGCCTCCTTCTCCTCCACGATTGACTACTCCGTCACTGGGCCCCGCCTCCTCGATCGCCGGGCCCCGCCCCCTGGATCGCCGGGCCCCGCCTCCTCAATAACTGCCGATGACAAGCCCAGCCACCTCCTGCGAAGTTGCTGGTTGTCACCAACTCAGCAGCGGCTGTGTGAAGGAACGGAGCGTTCCTCCTTACAGCCGCCAGTGACAGCCAGCAGCCTGGCTGTCCGAGCAAGATGCCATAGCGACCCAGGCGGCCCGCATGGCATCAGGGAGATGTCCGGGCCCCGCCGTGCCTCGGGCCCCATAGCGGCCGCCTGGGTCGCTATGGTGATTGTTACGCCACTGTTTTTGAGTTAGGGTCAGCTTAAGGCCTAGGTAGATGAGAGTGGTCAGGTACATGTGGGAAAATACTTCTCTTATCTTGCATTCATGCTCTTGGTGCGGAAAACAAACATACCTCTCATAATAATCTGGGGTCCTCATGCCTTTATTGTTTGTTTACACCATAATCAGCAATTCATTGTATTACACTCTCTCCTATTCTTGTTCCTATCTTGACCCATTTTGTCATTGTCCACTTTTTTACAGGAGTGAACTATTTATACTTATTCAGTAAAATCAAAAGAAATGATGACTGTCAAGTGAAGGATTCAGTTACAACAATCACATTTTTACTTTACTATATTCAGATTAGTACAGAAATGATGTCTAATGATTTGCTATGGCTTACTCTATTTTTCACACCATCATTGCTCTGGGTCCTGTTTCATTAAATGTACCTGTAGGAGAAC